ATACAACCATTTCAGAACGTAAGGGAACACGCAAGCCATTAAAATGTCACCCACCGCCATGTTGGCTATAAGTATATTGGTCGAGTTTCTCATGTGCTCTCTCTTATACACGATGTAAATGACGAGCGAATTTCCTGCCACAGATACAATGAAGACAATTACGGCATACACTGTGACGCCTACGATGTAGCTTATACTAAAGTTAAATGGGTTGAAGTTGGATTCGACAGGAGCTTCGTCGGTCGTGTTTGACGCATGATTTGGAGCTGTAAGAAATAACCAATATATTAAAAATTCCAGGTATACAAAGTAAAACGAAACATTGTGTTGAGTACGATAAATAATGATAGTTTTGTTGATGATAAGTTGGAGGTGCTAATACTGATGATGATGATGATGATGATGATGATGATGATGATGATGATGATGATGATGTTAATGAGGAGGATCCCAGTGGATGCTGACGACGAGGAAGATGATGACGAACTGGTGATGATAATAATAGAGATGATGGTGATGATAGTGATAGTGATGATGATGATGATGATGATGATGATGATGATGCTGGGTTGTAATGTATATGACGACGAAGATATAGATTGTGATGGTGATCATGACGACGATGTTGATAAAAATAATGGAAATGATGGTGCCGCTGATGATGATGTCAACGATGGTGATGATGTTGATGGCAATGATGGTGATAGTGGTGGTGATAATAGCGCACTTACGCAACAGGACAGGAGAGGAGAGATAGACGGCAAACCTTGTGAGACAAGCTTGACAATAATTTTGTGTGAAAAAACCTTCCGCCAAACTTTAACTTCATCTAAACGGATCTATTTGTAAAAGACCAGAACACATTAATGTTAAGTGAAGATCACGTCAAAACTCGCAAGTAACAGCCCCGTCACGTTTATCACACACAAGTGTTTTGCTGTTCTCTCCTTCCTGCGATCCTGTTGAGTAAACTCACTAATGATGGTGGAGATGATGATGATGATGATGATGATAATGATTATGATGACGATGATGAACGTGGGTAAAGCAAGCGAACTGAAATATCTACACGAATAGGCTACGGACTGAACAAGGAAACATACGGTTGACTACTGCTATGGGAAGTACAAAGAACTTACCTGTGGTTAGAATGGAGCTGTTCATCTCAGCGAGTCAGAGGGTGTTGTTTCCCACAGCTGGTCTCAATTACTGATAAAAAAATAAAGGTCAGTTAACGTTGGATTTGAAAATGACCGCGACGACTGCTGATCTTACAAACAATAACAGCGATACTGAAAATTGTGAAATGAAAATAACTCTTCAACGATCGTGTTGATCGCAAAGATGTGAAAACGGTTCGGTCCCCAAGAAAAGCTTACACTTCATCATCTCTGGTTGTTCGTTCTCGACTGGTTCCCATTTGGTCGATACGTTCGCTAATAACGCCATTGCTGGACTTTTTTCATCAATCGTAGCGATGAAAATAAGGTCGCGCGATCATAGGGAAGTTGTACCGATCATCGATCGTATGGAAATTAGGCTTTAATCGCGTTCGCATTCTTTTCCTATACAGTCCAAAAATTGGGTGAAAAAAGGAGTCGAGAGCGAAATGTATTATTTTTTTAGCATTATAATCAGAACTACAAGAAGATTAGCCTGCGAAAACATTCGTTTCTCCTCACTCTTCGTCGCTGGGGACGCGGCGAAGAACGAGGAGAAACGGGTGTTTTCTCAGGCTACAAGAAGATCCACGAAAAGTTTTGGTTGCACATCCTCCTGTTCAGCAGTGGTAACCAAAACTAACATCTCCGTTTTTAGACTCTCACTATTCTTCTTAGTAAAACCATAATTATATACCTGAGAAGAGAAAGCTATTCTTATTGAAGGGTTTTCCGTTGGGCACTTATGGACCCAAACAATGAGATTCTACGAATAGTCTGTGTGGCTCTGGGTAGGCCTGTGATAATACTTGAAACTATCTGGCACCACACTTTAAGCCTGAAAGGGTTAAAAATTATCGAAAAGCTCCCTAAGATTCTTAGTAGTCTGTTGGTTTTTGTTTGTTTTTGTACATTTTTAAATGGGCCATTTCTGCTCCCATGTGTGCACCCCGGTGTGAAAAACAGACCGTCATTGTTTATAGCAAACAGATTTTAAACACAGCTGTAAAACTCAATAGACTCCCTATAGCTGTTATAGGATTTAATTCAAAATCAATAGCCTTCCAAAGAACAGAAAGATTATTAAAAACACAGATCGGTACATCAAAAAGAAAACTATACGCGCGAACAATAATATATATTCAACCTCGGTTAAAATTCATAGAAATTCATTAACACTCATGTAAAGCTTAGCTGATGGTTTTCTAATATTCTAATATTCTCTAACGTATTACTATTCAAGTATTACCATTCCATGTAGCAAAACTTACTGCCAGCATATCATTACAATAGAGTCCGCAGTGAGTAAAATCCTTAACTATTAGTCGTATACGAAAATA